TGTACCATTGAAATGTTGAAGATTCTTAGTCTGGAATTTGGATGACCACAAGGTGACAGGTAACAGGAGAAATGAGTTTTTCCTGGGTGAATATAACCTACATTTTAATACATGGACACCGGTTTCTGAAGTATTTTGTTAAATCGGTCACATGCTATGAGGCAATATTGCATAGAGAAGAAGAGGAAAATCCATTTAGAAGGCACATAATGAGGTGAGATTTCTGCTGGTGTACATTGCTGAGGAACGGAAAATTGCCAAGCTATAAAACATTCATGAGAAACACGAATGATAAGGTTCTTGTTCAAAACTGTAAAATCAGTGTTTCTATTCTGAACTCTATTTTTGGAAGTTGTTCCTTGTTTCTGAAAAATTGCTTTGTGCTGGAGGGTAGCAATAAAGATGGTAATCCTGGAGAAATGTTGTCTTATTCTTCTGTGTTTGGTTCCCATTAGAAAAAGGTAGGAATTTGTTAAGCAGAAGATCCATTTGGCCAAATACTAAGTGTTCAATTTCTGATTATATTTACATGCTACCCAACCATCTACCAGCAGGAGATTGTATTTAGGAAGAAATACGTTTAAGAGAATCACACATCATGATGGTCAGTGTCAGTCTCCATCATGGAATCACCATCCCTGAAAAAGTTCAAAGAAGGAGTCGTGGTGCTTGGCAATACAGTTTAGTGTGTATGGAGGTTGGATTTGATTATCTTGGAGATATTTTCCAACCTCAATAATTCTAGGCTTCTTCTCTGTGGCTCCAGCTTTAGGAGCCAGAGGCCATTTGAGTCTCAACAGCACCTGGCTTGATCCACCCTGCACCTGGGCTTTGGACATCAATGGCGTTTCATGGCAGGCGATAGTTGGGAGGATGTTGGTGGTGCTCTGGAGAGAATCTCAGGGAAAACCAGGTGGAAGGAGATGACTCTGCAGTCTGGTGGACAGAGTCTGCAGAGCCTCCATCAGTTCTGAAAATGAGGAAAAGCTACTTGAGGTCATTTAGGACCAGATTTTTCTCCTTAAACCATTTAGGCATCTTAATGTGGGAAATTAAGCTCAAACACCCTCATGATAAGCTCTCCAGATGCCCATCTGCAAAACATTAGTTTGTGAAGTACCTGTAAAATTAGGCCCCTTGGCAAAACTGAACAAAGCCTAAGAAAATTTCTGATTTAGGACGTGAATGTTGTGAAAGGAGCCAGGTGCATCCGGAGCACGTGCTCCTCTCTGAGACAGCACCTTCTCTGGCATCGGAAACCATTTGGCCTTACTGAGGAGTGTGTGGCCTGACCCCAGAAATTTCCTTCTGCTTTTTGTATTGCAGAAAATTGTGTTTCTAACCCAAGGGAGCTTGAGAGTGTGTGCCAGCCCCATCCTGATGGCAAGGAGCTGACAGATCTGCCGTGAAGGTCTCACGGAGTTGATGCAGCTGAAGATCTGAGGGTAAGTCTGATGCAGATGCCATTTTTGAGCCTGTCCCAGCGGCAGCATTGAAGAAATCTGTGTACATTCTTTACCTTGCCAGGTCACTTCCATTTATTCTCATAAAAGTCTATTGTGCAGATATTAATATCTGCAGCTCTCCTTAATTTCTGCTGTCATGATGCGCTTTTATTACATTAGAGTGACCTGAAACAGTGTCCTAGTCTCATAGATCCCATTTTCACAGCTTGCACTGTGAGTTTAATTTCACAGTTTTTAGTTTTCCAGCTTAAAAATATGAACAACTTATGGAGCAAAATTAACAGTTTATTAGAAATATCACTCACTGCAAAAGTCTTAAGGGTAATTCACAGCTCTATAAAAGGTCATGGTATAAATAATTGCTTGATGAATATGGACCATGTCTGTTTGTCATTAAACACCAGCAGAGAGTTAATGCACTTTAATAGTCCTGCTAACTGTTATCTGACAGGCATAGAAATCACAACCAAGTGCAACAATTACGCTGAACAATTGCTTCTTACTCCTTTTTCTTTACACGAAAGGTAAAATAATGACATATGCTGTTGTCTTCACACATCAGTACTGGTCACGACTTTAACTCCTATAAAACATGGTAACCAATAACTTAAATATTGCAATGCTGTCTCACTGTTTATCAAACAAAATATCCCATTAATTCCACTCTTTGACATGTGGAAAGGCTGCACTCACAGTGCATAACAGTGAAAACTGTTACTCCCCATCCTGTTTGTAGAGAACATGTTCAAGGTCCCTGGTGTAACCACTGCATTAACTAGGCCCTGGTGATCCACACATATCTGTGTAGTTTTCCATTTAGGATCGGAAGATATAGATATTTAAATCTTATTCAAGACAAAGAAGGTTTTAGTGAGATTTCTCTAATAACTGCAATTACTTCTACTTGAATTTAGGTCTTAGTGTATTCAGTAGTGACTGAACCTAATTACAGTGAGGATAAGGACACAGTCTATTGTGTTTGGGAATGGATGGAGAAAGATAAAGGACACTGATAGAGATGGATTCCCCCTTCAAAAAATGTCTGGCTCTATTCCAGAAGAATTCCTGGTTAAAGAGGCTAAAAGATACTCCATTCCCTTACTCCCATTTGCCTTATAGCTTCTGTCCCAAAGGCTGGGGATAATTAATCTTCCTCCTCCCAGCTGCCCTTGGAGAGGTTTTCCTACACACCAGGGACTCCTTTAGGTCTGCTCCAAGCAGCTGTGAATTCCATCATCTTCTACCCAGCCCTTCCTGAAAGGTCCCTGTGGAGTCCGGTTCAGTTCTCTCCAGAAGGATTCCTAGTAAAGTGACTCTGTCATACTTGATTGAGTTGCTTTGTGTTAAGAACTTCCCACAGATAAGATGGGTACTTCAGCTGACCTGAAGCAGAAAGTAATCTTTTTTGTGTAAGAAATTGTTTAGGTCCAGAGCAATTAGGTGGTGTTGTGGCTCAGCCAACAGGAAATAAGGCTTTAGGGTCATTTCATCAGCCACCGTCAGCTCCTCAGACTACTTTGGCACCTAGATTCCATAGCAAATCGAACCCTAAAATATTAAGAGGAAGCATGTGTATAAAATCCATGAGAAAAGATAAATTTTTATTCAGGTCAGGATCCAGCACATGTACCTGAAGCCACATAGTGATTGAGAAAAATTAAATTGCTTATTAACTGATCTCTGTCCATCCAGGGTGGTAAGTTGTCCAGCACTACCATGGAATAAAGGTTATGTGGCCTTGGAATTAAATGCTGTGTCATGATGAACGTGCAAAAGAGCGTGTTGAAATGAAATAGCATAGACACAGCCTTGGTTTTGGAATTTATTGAACTTTGTTAGTAGAGTTTGGTTAATGCAGTTTCTTGGTTGCTGTGAGGGAAATGTCTTAAGCGAATGTTTTAAAGCAAATCAGTTTAATAAAGAAACTACTGATTAGAAATAGGAACAGTATTATCAGGGAGCTGATCTTTGTGATGGGATTGGGATTTCATTATGAATCTGAAATACCACCAGGTAGAACCTATTCTGTTCTCAGAGGCAAGACTAGACCTATGGTGTCATGATAAATAATTACACATGAGAAATTATCACTTGGTTGCAGAATCTGGTTGCCCCAGTATTTTGTCCAAACAGGATGAGTAGTTTAAGGGAAAGAGATACTTACGCTTTTAAGGGAAGGATTTGTTTGACATTTCTTTTTTGACACTTGCACAGTGAGAAATGAACAGCCTCCCAAGAGGAGAGAGAGGTTATGCTTCTCCAGCAGGTTTAGAAGTTCCTGCCCTTCCAGTTACCTCCCTATTTTTCCTTGACAGTGAAAGTTCATTGAGTTGGCAGGATATTTAAAAAAATATCCTACCTTCATTTTACCCCTATGCTGTGGTCAGCAGGGACTTGCAAAAGAGCTATTGATAAACCCTGTATGAAGAGATTGCTTCCTACAAACATATTTCATGTTTCTGATTTTAGTTAATTTATTGTTTTTTTCTATAAGCTCTCTGGAGTCTTGGGCAGCTTAGAAATACCAGGCTGGCATTTCTAGTCTTGACTGTTTAGTCTTAGCTGAAAAGTTAACAAAAATCTAATAGCTTACCTACACAAGCAGTAGAATTACATAGCTGCCAGGGATGGCATATGGGCATTGTGACCACCCAAATATATTCCTTGACAAGAGATCCTTGAAATAGCAAAAAAAACTAGCCAGATGTTGCTGTGTTTGGTTGAGTGTAAAAGAGAAAAGAAGAAACCCCAGGTTACACCAAAATCTGTCAAAAATACTAGGCCAAGTCATGGCAGAATTGCTAGTATAAACACAATATAAATACTAGGATAGACATACATTAAACTCTGATGTGTTATTGACCCCAAACAGGTCTAGAAAGGACTTTTTAAAAATGCTATGTAAACTGTCCCAGGATGCTCAACAGAGGCAATTAAGTAATTGTATCCTTAAACAAAACATGTCAAATGAAGAGCAAGTTTTTAATGTAGTATGGAGAAAAAGCATGGCTACATGATGCTTTAGCTTCCCCATTCCTGGAAGTGTTACAGGCCAGCTTGGACAGGGCTCTGAGCAACCTTGTCTAGTGAAAGGTTTCCCTACCCATGGCAGAGGTGCTGGAACAAGATGAACTTTAAGGTCTTCTCCAACCCAACCTTCCTATGAGTCCGTGATATGGCAACACAGTGGCAGGGTAGTGGGGAGACATGTAAGTGATGCTTAAAGGGGCTTCCTGGAACAGAGGCTAGACAGAGTTAAAGGAATAAAGTAGGTATTTATTAAAATGCCTTCAAAGGATACACCTTGGGCAGTAAAAGAGCCTGGCCGAGGCTACACCCAAGATGGACCCAAGATCAATGACAGGCCACGAGTTTTCACACTTTTATAAGTTTTGGTTCATTTGCATATTGGGGTTAATTGTCCAATTACAGCTTCAGGTTATCAAGTCCCACCCTCCCAGCTTGCTCTCCTCAATTCTCTGTTGTTTATACTTTTTGGGCCAGAGGCTGTAATGGTGTCCTTGGCTCTCAGGCTGTAAAAGAATTGTTTTGTCTAACTAAACTATGAAGATAACTTGATAACACTTCATATGAGGTTCTGAATCACACATTAAAGTGGTACAGAATCTGAAAAATATGAAAGCTAAAACTTAAGACATCATAAGGATGATTTCCCAGACTGTAGGACTGAAATTAGGTGTTCTCAATTTCCAGGTAAAACATTTTGGGATATTGGGGTTTGGTTCTGGTTTTTTGAGGGTTTCACTGGGGCTTTTTTGTGTGAGTGTGGTTTTTTTGCTTGGTTGGTTTTGCTTTGGTTGGTTGTTGTGGTGGTGGTAGGTTTTTTTAAATATACTTGTAGTGATGTGAACAGAACAATGTATCTTCTCTTAAAGTTGTGATGAATGTTTTTTGTAGTAAGGTTTCAAACAGGTTCTTATCCGTGCCAAACATTTTTCATTGAAAAAGTCAGAAGTCTTAGAAAGTTGAGCTTATGATGTTTCCTTAAGAGCAAGAGAGTATTCCCTTGCCCCAGGCAGTGTGACCTAGATTGGTTTAATTCTTGATAGATGAGTGTCCAGATCGTCCTTCAAAACCTTTAAATACTGTCTACATCCTCATAAAGCAATCTGTTCAAGACTTTGCTTGCCTTACTGTTTTTGCTGGTATCCAGTCTAGATTCCTTTTATTCCAACTCATTATTGCTTGTTTTACTCAGGATGAGCATGGAAAAAGTTTACGTATGCTTTGTTTTTGTCTTTTATACAAGAGAGAACTGGTAAATTTCCCTTTCACCTTTTCTTCTCTGGACTAAAGAGTTCCATTTTCTTCAATCTCTTCTCACAGCATAGGTCCTGCTTTCTAGGCTGCTTTTTATTCTCTCCATTCCTCTTTTGTCCCTCCCCATTTGGCCAGTGTTTTTCACAGCTAGTGCTAACAAAAACCAGACCCTTATTACTACCAAGTACAGACAGAAATTTCTTCATCTGGCTCAGACAGAAGCCAAACTCAGGTAGACCAGGTTTGCCTGGTTTGCAGCTGTGTGATACTTTTGACTCATGATCAGTTTGTGATTCACTGTAAATCTTGGTGTTTTTCTGCATTACTGCTGCGTAACCAGACATTTTCCATCCTGCATTTAGAGAAATAAATGTAGAAATTTGTGTGTCCTTATTGAATTTTTGCCTATTACTTTCAGGCCATTCTCCTAATTTATCAACAGTGTTCTAAATTCTGGTTCTGTCCTCCTTCATGCTTGTAGCCTTTCCAGCACTGGTGTTGCTTGCAAATTTAATAAAATATACTTGTTAATTCATCATCTAAGTCATTAATGAAAATATTGAATAGTACTGGATGGGGGACAGATCCTTGGGGGATCTTTCTTGATGCATCATTCTGTGTTGATTGTGAACTATGGGTAGCTATTACCCAAGTATGGATTCTCCAGCCAGTTATATACCACTGCAAACACCTCCAGCTAGTATAGAGCTCACTCACTTGTTCATGAGCTTGTTGTACAGGCCAGTGAGGAGAGGGTAGTGACAGTGAAGGTACTAAAGCAATGGCAGGGAGTGCCTCTCTCCAATTCACATGGCTTCTTTCCCTGTCATAGGAGGAAGTAAACTTTCCTTGATTTATTATTGTCAGAACCATGTTGGTTGTCATTTATACCCTTTTTATGGTTATAAGTTGCTTGATTAGTCCCTACAGATTTGGGAGAGAAAATCAGGAGAAGCTGACTAGTCAGTAATATTTTTTGCCATATATCTCCTCTTTTCAGTGGTAGGAACAACATTAACCTTTCTCTGCTATGAAATCTCTTGCTTTAACTAAGCTCTCTGAAGCTCCCTGACAGCTCTGAGGCTGCTCTGGATGGCTCCTGAAAGTTTCATTGCAGAATGACTTCCCAACAGAGGTTGTGTCTGCAGCCATAGGTCCTGCCCCATTCCCACTCCTCCAGGGCTGAGCTGGGAGCTGTGCCCAGGACTGTGATCAGGCTGAAAACCAGCCTTTTCTTTCATGGCATCACAGCAGCAGGAGCGGCTGGCTCCAAGCTGTGGCAGGGTTGGCAGGGCACTGAATACCTCACCTGGCTCATTACCCCATTCCCCCTCAGCTGAATGTGTGCCTTGAGCCCGGTACTCTGTGTGACCTTTCTGAACCACCAGGAGTGAGAAACTCTAATCTTCATCAACACTGTCAATTTGCCCATTGCCTGCTGTAGCCTGATTTTTTATTTTCAGCTGCTGGTGTTAACTACATTAACTACGTGGTTCCAAGTCACCCTTAGTGACTACTGAGGATTCTTTCCACCATGTCATCAGTAGATGACATTTTCCTGCTCCGTTACAAGTACGATGACTCTTACTTAAGTAATTTCAATATTAAGAAAGTATTAATACACCCTATTTATCTGTGTCCCAATGGACCTGAATCTGCTTTTGCTACTAAGCTTTTATGGTTGTGTCCCTGCACAATTATCCTTTCAGTCTGTCCTTAATAGACAAAGGGTTTCTGGAGCTTTCTTCTTTTCTCTGAGGAGGCAGAAGAGCTTGTGGCTGGCCATGCTAGTCTGTGACTCTGTCTTGCAGCCTCCTCTGCCAGGATGGAGTTTGTATTTCTGTCCTTCATGTAGCTTCTGCAAGGAGATGCCAAGCCTTGCAAGCTCCTTTTCCTCTAAGGCTTCCAGTAGGATTTTACTTGCCTGCAATAGGTTTTTATGCTTCTGAAACCCATTCTCTTTACATTATCAGTTTGGCTCTTTCTTTTTGAGGGAGTTGTAAACCCCCTCACACCACACATTGCCCTTTATCTTCCTATTTTCATTGCCCTCTTTCTGCCTTGACCCAATCCCTCAACACTTAACTGTGTGTTACCAATGGAGTTCAACAAGGTGCTAACACACAAGGAAGTGTTTTCAAGGAAAAAAAGGAGAGATACAGCCAGGGAAAGACATTTTTTTCTGTCTGAAATGCAGTCAGAGATAATTTTATCCCACCACTAGCTAAGTGGATTTGCTTCCAGGACAGATGTATCAGAGAACTCCAATTGGAATTCTCCTAGGTCTCATCTGGATGCATTGAGACTCAACCATTGCTTATGAATGAAAAGTGAAGGTAAGGCTAGTACTCCTTTTATGCATTCCACCATATCTCACATTATATATATATATATATATATATATAAAATTTTCTCTAAAAATAATGCTGTTTTTAGTTGGCTTCTTCCTCTTGAAGCAGGACAACCACGTGCTGATAGCAGAATGCTTTGCTCATGGGTCTAAATGACAGATTTGCAGCTTACAATAAAACTGCCTGCAGGTTTATTACTGTGCTGTCATGCATTTCAAAAGCTACAGTAGAGTGAATCTGAGCAATGCCCCAGCCACCATTTGCCATATTTACCTGATGATAAATGTCAGGTCTCTGTTGAGTTGCAGCCAGAGAACAGATAATGGCAAGTAAAACAGCTTGGGTGTAACAGCATCACCAACAATCTGACTCCCTGTGACCCACTGCATCTTTTATAACATGAAACATCTACAACCACTCCTATGACAAGAGCTAAAGGAAAACATCTCCCTTCCGATCTTGTGTACCTGGGACCTTCAGGAGAGCTATCAGGACGGGGCCTGTTTGTGCTTGCCTTAAATTTTGAAAACTTAAGAATCACAGCATAAGCCTGTCTGCCAGTGATGGCTCCACAGATGTTCACAAGAATTTTGATGATGGTTTCAGAGGGGATATATTTTCCTTAGTTTTTGTGCCAAGGAATGTTAACCATTCTAAGCAAACAGGATGCTGTAAGGGCTGTCCTTTAAAAACAGTAACAAAAGCAAAATGTCTTAGGACGCTCACAGTGAAATCACAAAAGTTAACAATGCTGCAAATCCTTCCAACACCAACTCAAATTATCTGAACATTGACTGTTTCTTATGTCTAGTTGTGGAGAGCTGCCCCAAGGTACCAGGCATCACTAAACTGAGAAAAAATTAAAGACAGCTGCTATTGAAAGAAATACTGCAAAGAATTCTTCAGTTTCTTAGCTTTTAAGAAATGAGCCCTAAATTTTGTTTGTGGGTGTATTTATTTGTGTTGTGTGCATGTTTGACACACAATTTGTGTTGTGTGCATGTTTGACACACATGCACAAATGTTCATTCCAGATCCGTTATTGTGAAGCTTTTCAGAGAATCTCAACGAGTTGTCAGTCTCCAGTATGCAAAGTAGTTCAGTAGTACGATGTCAGTAATCAGCATTAAATCAAGCATTTAAGATTTATATTGCTAAAGCACCCTCTAGTGGGGCAGGGACAGAACAGTTGTTTTTAGCAGAGATGGGATAATGGCTCTCATATTAGAGAATAGACAAGTAAAAAGCTGGATACTGGTGGGTTAGGCAAGCACACTGAATCTTTAGTTCGAAGAGTCGCAGAATAATTTAAATCAGAAAAGACCCCCAAAATCACTGAGCCCAGACTGGTCACCACCATGTCAGCTAGACCAAGGCACTGCCACATCCAGTGATATCTTGAACACCTCCAGGGATGGAGGCTCCACCACTTCCCTGGGAAGTTGGTTCCAAAGCTTAACAACTCCTTCTGTGAAGAAGTTCTTCTCGATGTCCAACATACCTCTCCCCTGGTGCAGCTTGTGGCTATGCCCTCTTGCCCTGACAGTGTTTAGTCAATGTTCCTGCTATCCATGCAGCAGGCAGAAGTCACAATAATATCTGAAAGGTGGCTATGCAGTTTTATTGCACGTAATTACAGAATGGTAGCATCCTTTTATTCAGAGACCTTTGGAGGTCATCTCATTTAAACTCCCACTCAAAGAAAATTCGAAAAATCAGGTGGTTTGTGACAATTTTCAGCTGAGTTTGGATATATCTCTAACAACTCTTCTTCCCAACATATTCCAGTATTTGACCATCATCATGGTGACCAGAGATTTCTTTGTATGCAAACCGAATTTCCCTTGTTGCAATTTCTCTTTATTGCCTCCCTAGCCCACAGCTGTGCACTCCCCATAATTTCTCAAGTTCTTTACAGTTTTGTGATCTTGAAATACTGGAAAAAATATTTGTATTCACTGAAAGAGAGAAAACTTCTGGGCCTGGCTGAAAATTAGTTGTGGTTTGTAGTAAAGAAATTAGTCTTTATTCACTTGGTCAGGGAAAGAACATTTTTAGGCAATTTGTAAAGAAACACAATAGCTTCAAAGAAGATCACTCATTTTATTTCTCTTTTTAAAGGAAGGAACTGTGAGGTCCTGGCTGAGGGTAATCACTTGGTTGCAGGTGGGCAGGAGTGGGTACCCCAGGGTGTTCACACAGCTTTGTGGGCAACAACTTCCCATCATCAGTGCAGTATGTGATGCCTTTAAAAAATTAATTTGTGTTTGATAGGGAGGAGATGGGTGTGATCAAAAGGAGAAGACAGCTGAGCCATGGAGGACCAGAAGGTCACCAAAGAGAGTGGCTGACCCTCAAATGGTGGTGATGCCTGCTTGTTTCCTGGCCCTATGTGTTACCTGACTGCTGCAGACAGGTAAGGAGGAGGCAGGATGAGCTGACCCCTACATTTGGGGGTGCACAGAATAGTCTTGGCTGTATTTTTGGTAAGAAGGTTGACCAGCTGTGCCATGGCACAACTTTAAGGGCACAGCTTTGTATATTTCTAGGAAATCAGAAGCATTGAGGTCTGCTGTTTTCTTTTACTTCCCTAAAACCAAGCTTTGAAGCTGCTGATGTCAGGATAGATGCAGATCCTAGGTGAGCACCTTCTCCAGAGGTACCTGGGACCATGCTCCATGCCTGTGGATGCAGCACCCACCCTGCCCCTCTGCAGCTTCATTGTCACACTGTGCATGCCTGCTGCCTCCCCTGCACTGCCCTCAGCCTGCCAGCCTCAGGCAGGATGTTTAGAGGAAAGATCAGGCGAAGAGTAATCATAGTTATTTCAAACTGGGTGGATAAAATTAGATGTGTATAATTAGGGGTTAGGTGGATAAAGGAAAGGAGTTTTGTTTGTGAGTAGTCAGCACCTGCCAACACTCAAACTCATGGCCTGAGTGTTTGTGTGTTTGCTTTTAGGCAGCTCAGCATGAAAACCCTCACCAAGGCTGGACACAGGGACTGAGCCTCCCCTGGACTTGGAACCCTCCTGTGTTTTCCATTTTCACCTGCCACTGCTCACCCTACCAAGCTCTGAATTTCTGTGACCTTGCTTGGCAGGAAAATCAGAGTCTCTGCAGGTGGCCAGCTGCCAGGGACATTCATTTTTTCCAATTAGTGGAAAACAGAGGGTGTTACCTCTACCCATGATTTAAAAACAGCACCAGAGCAGAAACCCATGGAGGACATCCAATATCCTGGTCAACATGCCACTTTTGGAAGCCAGGAGTGCTCTCCTCTGTGCAATAGAAGACACACCTTTCCCCAGACCTTTTGGAAGAGCTCTAGCAATGATGGTTTGAAAAAGGTGGGTGGGGGAGCATGGAGCCCCTGAACCAGGGCTGCCTTTGGCCCTCTTCAAACAGAAGTAGGGGGGCACTGAGAACCTTGTGCGGCTGAAATGTTCAACCTGGTGCACCCACTGCCCCAAGGATCCACCCTGGGTGCTCCAAGAGCCTAAAGATCTCTGTTCCTGTGCTCACAGATTACGGTAAAAGATGATCTGGGAAAGCACATAAAATCATGATAGACTTCAGGGCACTAAAGAGACTCCCTTTTTTCTTCTCTGATGGATTTCAGGAGTCCTTCCCTGGATTTTCCTCCCATTTGGCACCTTTCTGTTACACAATTTGGCTTTTCAGATGCTCCTTTTCAAAGCAGTAGTCTGGAACTGGAATTAAAGAGGATGGCAAAAAGCCCTAATCAGAGACCTGGCTTTATAATAAGACAAGTACTTATTTTATTGCACTGTTAAATAATGTATTTCTTTTCTATAGCTGCAGTGCTGAGGAGGCAGAGCAGCAGCAGGTAGAACTGTTGTTAATTCTACATATCACTGTGAGTTGTTAACCTTAAAATGTGGAGAAATGAAATTGCACCTTATTTTAGCATTTATAGCAACATTTGATCAAGTGAGAAGCTGCCTTATTTAAGTAGGTTATGCAACTGTGTCTGTAAAAGCCAGTGTGGGGCAGATAACCAGCCAGCTTGTGCTCAATTTGTGTGTTTGTGTCTATCGAGTCTGAACACATGGGGTGAGTAACTAACCCACGGGATAACACACAGACATCTCTGCCCACAGGTTTCTATCTCTGGTGCTGCTGTATTCCCACTCTTCCCCACAAACACTGCAGTGTCTGAACAGCTATGATCTCTCCAATGTGTTTATCCTCTCAGCACGCCTGGGAGGTAGGGAAGAAGTACTTTCCTCTTTTATGGCTAAAAAGTCAGGTGCAGAGAGGGTGAAAGATGCACCCACAGCCTGGTGGGAGGCTGTGACAGAAATTTTGACCATGGCCTGTCTGTGCACCCTTGCACGTGTTCCCAATTCATCTCTGGTACAGCAGGTTGTTAAGCTGCAAGGTGCCTTTGCCTTCCTGTTTTTCCTGACCACAGGTACAAAGGTTTCCCAGTGAACTCTGTGTTGTGTTTTTTGTGTAATTGGATAGACGTGTCACCGTGACCCTCTCTCCAGTCCCGGTTAGCAGGAGGTGAGCCAGGCTCAGGCTGACCTGGAGACCATGCCCTTTGCAGGGTGCTGTGGGGAGAAAGCAGCTGCCTCGCTCCTGTAGGGGTGAGAGGCCATACAGCACAGCCCCCACTGCTGCTGTGACAGTGGCTTTCACACAAGCTGAGGCAGATCACCTTGTCCTCATACTAAAATAGCCACAAAATTGAGAGGAATACACAAACGCAGTAATTCAGGGCAACCTGGATGGTTTTGCAGCAGAAGCGTCTTGATTGTCATGTGAGACCAGTCACTCCCAGCATGTGACAGTGTCTATATCCATTACAATGTCATTATCTGATACAGAGATCTTCTAAAAGTCTCTTTATCCCAGGGAGGATTTCTTTTAAGTGGTAGAAACAAGGTCGGTTCTGAAAATGCTATCACCTTGTTATCACTGTACATGCCAACAACTTCTGAGTCTCTTTTGAAGTCTTCCACTGAGGCCTCCTTCAGCCCATCTGGCTTTGCACGTGTTAAAGCAACAAGTAACTTCAGCAACTCGTCCTGTTAGGGCTTACTATGCAGTGAAATTGCACTGCTTTTAATACATCTTCTAATATCTTTAGCAAATGATTCGGTTTGTTACAAAGTGGTTTGGGAACAGAAGTGTAAAATACTGTAATGTTTGTAGGTGGCTCTTATCTCCCACCAATCACAGACACCAAATGCCAAAGCCTTGGCAATGAAAAGTGGTCTATCACGCTTTGGCCCACCCACAAACACATGTGTACAGGCTAAGAGAGCACAATGAATGAAAGCACCAAAATAGATCTTTTTCTCCTCTCCCCATTTCTCCTTCAGAGCACTCAGGGCTTCCATCCTTACTAATATTTGATTGCTCAGACTCCAGGGCTTCCTGAGGAAAAAACCTCAGCAGCATTCCATTCCCGGGAAGAACCCTATTTATGCTTAGGGTTTAAGGAGCTGAGTCTTACTCCCACAAATGTTTTCTAGAAATGGGTAATGATTTGTTACTGAGAAAATGCCCCTTGGGATCCTGAAAAATCCATATAGTGCAGAGCAGCTGCATTTGAAGATTTCTTTTGTTTGCACACACAAAACTTACAGAGAGCTTTGTATGCCTAAGAAAGGCAAGATCTAAGCTATGCAGGGGGCACCTATCATTAAGCATCAGGACCTTCCTGTCTGTTTCACTCAGATATGAAATATTTCTCTTCCTTTCAACTGCTGCCCATTGGAAATACAGTTTTCTTTACTGCTTCCTGTGTGCATACAGAAAGAACAGCAAAAAAATCTCATCAATAGGTGATGAAACACAGTATTCAGTGTCTACCCAAACACCAGAGTACATCTCAAGTCAAAATTTTATGTGGAATAGGAGCCACCGTGTGAAGGAAACCACTGTGACCCAGGACCATGAAGGAATCGAAGCAGTTAACTCCTCATTGACTTCAGTTTTTTCTGCATCTAAACACTCAAGTGTTCAGCACCTCCTCTGTCAAATGGGGTTGCTGAGCTTGGAAAAGTGATGGCCCTAGGGACCTTATAGCACCTAAAGGGGGCCTACAAGAAAGCTGCAGAGGGACTTTTTAGCAGGGTCTGTAGTGAAAGGACAAGAGGGAATGGCTTTAAACTGAGAGTGGGTATTAGGAGATTGTATTAGGAGATTAAGAGATTAGATATTAGGAAGAAATTCTCTATGGTGAGGCACTGGAACAGATTGCCCAGAGAAGTTGTGGATGCCCCATCCCTGGAAGTGTCCAAGGCCAGGCTGGATGGGGCTTGGAGCAACCTGGTCTGTGGAAGGTGTTGGAAATTAAGTGACCTTTAAGGTCCTTTCTGGACCAAACCATCCTATGACTCAAATAGGGGAAATATCTCTACATGTTGTGAGGATAGACTTATCAAAAGACTGTGAGACACTTGGGTAAAACAGTGTAGAAAGGGTCACAGAAACAAGACTCAAGTCTTATTAAAAAGGAGCAGTGGATGGAGGAAGGAACAAAAAACTGAGCAGAGGAATAAGAAACCTAGACTAGTTTCAGGAAAAGACTGAGCACATAAAAGCGTGGGAAGAGCCAAAGCCTCAGGGACAAAGTGATAAATTTTTTTGTAAAACTGCACATACAGAATATCATAATGAAAAATACAGCAGCACTGCCAGGGGACATGGCTGTTTGGGAAGCAGAAACTGAGCATCCTGAAAGTGAGTAAATAGCACCAGCGTCCTGTGTTCATTATTCAAAGGCAGGTATGTTCAGTTTTAACATGGATTTAGTACCGCAGAAGCAGAATTTTGCATGGCTTGATGCATTTTCATATGTGCTTAGAAATATGTACAAGTTTGGTGTTCCAAAGTTGTGATACACCTTTGCTATACCCATGAAGGCACATTTATAGCCTCTGGCTGGAAATCCCATATAAGATCATTGCATCTTCCAGCTTCCCCTTGATGCAGCAGCTTTTCCCAGCGAAGGAGCCCACCTCCCACTTGTACACCCTGCACTGACATCTTCCCATTAATTGTGCTTAGCTCTATGCAAATTCATGTGTCCATATATATTGTATCTATGTATCTATCTCTCATGGTTCCTGGTTTCATTAATTTCTTCTAAATTCTTATTATGTTCTGTGCTTAATTCTGCTGATGAAATTGGTATTTTTATTGGCTTGTACTGCATTACATGTGTGCACTGACTTTTAAAAAGATCAATTAACTCAAATGGGGGGATGTCAGAGTGTTCTAGTCTGTATCACAGCTCAAACAAAGCTGCCAGCCCTGCCAGCAGCTTTCGGTGTTAGAAGTTGAGTAAATGGAATGTTTCACTTTTACATTTCCCCCTAGGTACTTGATAGAGAAAGGATATCAATGATCCAAAGATATTCAACAGAGAGTGATTCTAGAGAGTTGTGGCTCTTCTCACCATGAGAAATGTAAACAATGAGTGCTTTTTAGACTTGTTGCTGAATTTACTTGTTGTTTACTTGACTTGTTGCTCACAGGGGGGTTGAACAGTTGGAGGAGTACCGAGGCAGACCCACTGTGGGGAACACGTAACACCAGCTCCTTTCCTGGGTCGCTGCTAAAGCACTGCTTCTTGGCTAAGCGCAACATGCCTGCTATCCTGGTTGGTGCCCCTTCAGTAGGACAGTACACATAAATTTTTAGTGCTTGGAGCACTTAGCATTTAGATTGAAATAGGAGAAAGCAATTTATGTTTGCCTACTATTGCCACATGGTAAAATTACACTGACCTTGACAGCATCTTTTGTTTGCCTGGAGCACTCTGAATTCAGGGGGACGTTGGCTGCATGAACACAAATTAATTGTCATCATGGTTAAAATGAAACACCTGAATGAAAGCTGAGGGAACATCTTTACCTCTAACTGGATTCCTCAAATTAGACTCACAAATGGAGCTCAGTATCTGAGAAAATCCTGGCTTTCAGATAAGATCCTTTCAGGTGAAAAAAATCCTCTTTCTGGTCATGGGCTGCTCTTCATACAGCATCCAGAAGGACTGCTTTGCTCCAGAGGCAGAACAGCACGTATCTTTTCCTGATATAAATGCAAAATTAGCTAACATTCCAGTGATGTGTGGAAATCTGTGTTGTAGAAAGCTAATTTCCAGATAAGAATTTCATTTCCTATAGTCAGGAACTATTCAATAAGAAGGGGGGGTGAAAGAAATTGAAAGAATTAAAACAATTGCATTAAGCTACTTTCTTCCTCTCCAGATACCCCATTATCTAATCTTTTGCATTTCTAATAAGTAGTGATCAGGCACCTAGTTTGTCCATGGCTGATGTTCTATGGAAGAATTTTAACTAAAAAACAATAAAATAAACCTTCTACCACAAATTCTTTCAAAATACTATTCAGTATGTGTGGTTGTAAAAGCAATTTGGTTTTCACAGAAAGGAGTGATGAAAATGTGTGTATCATGCCTGAATTAACCCTCTTACAGGTGAACTTTTGCAGGCAGAAATCAACCCACCCAAGTTATTAGCCAAAGATTTTTGCCTGAAAGCTGATATTTCTAAGTCGCCCTTCCGGTAGAAGGAACAAAAAA